AGTCTTTGTCTTAAATAAGGAATGCAAAACATATCGCAATGAGAGCTGTTAATTAAAAAGAAACAAACAAGCAAACAAAGAAAAAACAACAACTTTTGCCCTGGCTGGTGTGGCTTAGTTTGTTGGAGCATTGTCCAAAATGTCATGGTTTCAAATCATGGTCAGGGCACATGCCTAGGTTGCTGGTTTGTTCCCCAGTCAGGGCATGTTCAAGAAGCAACCAACGGATGTTTCTTTCTCACATCAATGTTTCTCTCCCTTTTTCTCCCTTTCCCCCTCTCTAGGATCAATGTGCATGTCCTGAATGAGGATTTTTTTTTAAAAAAAAGGAAAAAAACTTTAACTAATTGCCTGAATGCTTTAAAAGATCTGCTAAGTGAAATAAGCCAGTCAGAGAAAAAGACCAGTACTGTATAACTTCAGTCATGTGTAGAATCTAAAGATCAAAATGAACTAACAAGAAAAAATAGTGACAGACTTAAGAGAACAGGCTGGCAGCTGTGGCAGTGAGGCAGTTGGTTCTGGTGGGAAGGAGGGATAGAGCCAAAAAAGAAAAAATAAAAAACCCTTGAACATGGACAACTCAGGGACAGTGTGGTGATTGTGAAGGGAAGGGAGTAGAGGGCATTGGAGGAGAATATAGGGGTGGAAATGGTGATGGACAGAGAATTGACTTGGGTGGTGAACACATAGTATAGTGTACAGATGATGTGTTATAGAATTATGCACGTGAAACTTGTATGATTTTGTTAACCAGTGTTGTTGGCAGTGGGGTTCTTGTGGTGTATCAATTAAAACATTCCAGGAGACTGACGTATGGGAGATTGTGGTTTGGTAAGATTTATGTGGGTGGAAGGCTACCCCTTGGTTTTAAATACTCCATCTCCATCCATCTTGCTATGGAAAAAATTAACTCTTGTCTGAACCAATACCAAAGCAAAGGTCAGTGTCCAAATATTCTGTGCCACTGATTCAGCATTAACATCCAGATAGCTTAGTGCTGTTCTTGGCTGTGGTCTATTGTTGCGCTGCAGTATCCAGGCTCTGTTTGGAGCCTGCATGACCTTCGGCTGCACACGTGCTAAGGCCACAAGCTTCCTATAGAGAGAGAATACAGACTGCATGGGGCAAGCATGAGTCACCAGAGCTAGAGCGAAGGGCTTTGTTAGCTGGGGTTATATTATCTTGGGTTTGTAAAGTACCAGGCACTTTATCAGAATAACCTATCAACTTCCCAAGCTTTCCAGGCTTCTGATGGGTCTGACTCCTAACCAATCCATTTCCTTCACGTTACAATTATCCCTACTTTTACCCCTTAGCCCGCCTCCACTCAGCCTCCTCCCTCCCCTGCCAATATCTCAAGCCATCATCACACCATTGTCTATGTCCATGAGTCAGGCATGTATGTTCTATGGTTAATCCTTTCACCTTCTTTCTTCCAGTGCCCTCTTTCCCTCTCCCCTCCAACATCTGTCAGTCTGTTCTAGGTATCTTTGATTCTGTTTCCATTTTGCTCTTTAACTTATTTTGTTCATTAGATTCCACATATAAGTGAGATCATATTGTCTTTGTCTTTCACTGACTGGCTTATTTCACTTAACATAATAATCTCCAGTTCCATCCATGCTATGGAAAAGGTAAGAATTCCTTATTTTATACTGCCATGCACTATTACATTTTGTGAATGTGCCAAAGATGTTTTTACCCACTCATATACTGATGAGCACTTGGGCTGTTTCCAGACCTTGACAATTGTAAATAATATTGCAATTAACATAGCAGTACATATATTATTTCAAATTGAAGTTTCAGGATACTTAGGATATATTCCCAGATGTGGGATCATTGGGTCAAAAGGCAGTTCCATTTTTATTTTTTTGAGGAAAATCCATACTGCTTTCTACACTGGCTGCACCAGTCTTCATTTCTACCAACAGGGTACGAGGTTTCCCATTTCTCTACATCCTTGCCAGCACTTTTGGTCCATTGATTTATTGATAGTAGTCATTCTGGCAGGTGGGAGGCAATATTTCATGGTAGATTTGCTTTGGATCTTTTTGATGATTAGTGACATTGAACAGTTTTTCAAATGCCTTTTGGCCATCTATGTGTCCTCTTTAGAGGAGAGTCTATTCAAGTCCTTTGCCCATTTTTTAACTAGATTGTGTTCCTGGTGTGCAGCTGTATAAGTTTTTAAATATATTTTGGAAACTAAACCTTTAGGTAAACTATTGGCAATATGTTCCCCCAAACAATAGGTTCCCTTTTAATTTTGGTTACTTTAGCTGTGAAGAAGTTTTTTACTTTGATGTAGTCTCATTTGTTAATTTTTTCCTTGTTTCCCTTGCCTTAGAGGAATACTGCCAAAAATATTCCTGTGCAAGATTATTTGAAAGATTACTGCCTATGTTTTCTTCTAGGATATTTATCATTTCATCACTTACGTTTAGTCTTTTATTCTTTTTGAGTTTATTCTTGTGTATTTGGTAAGCTGGTGCTCTAGTGTCAATTTTTTGCATGCACCTGTCCAATTTTGCCAACACCACTCATTTAAGAGACTGTCTGTACTCCATTGTATGCTCTTGCTTCCTTTGCTTAATATTAAGGTCATAAAAGTATAGATTTATTTCTGAGTTTTCTCTTATTCCAATGATCTATATGTGTGTTCTTATTCCAGTACCAGGTTGCTTTAATTACAGTGGCCTTAGGGTATAGTTTGATATCCAGTATTATGATTCCTTCAACTTTGTTCTTTTTTCTCAAGATTGTTGAGGCTATTCAGAGTCATTTTTGGTTCCATATAAATTTTTGTGATATTCTAGATCTGTGAAATATATCATTGGTATTTTAATTGGAATTGTGTTGAATACAGATATTGCTTTGGATAGTATGGACATTTTAATGATGCTAATTCTTCCAATCCATTAACACAGTATATGCTTCCACTTATTTGTATCTTCCTCAATTTCTTTCTTCCATGTCCTATAGTTTTCCAAATACAGGGCTTTTTTTACCACCTTAGTTAAAATTTTCCCTAGGTACCAATTATTTTGTTGTTGTTGCGTGCGGTTGTTTTCTTATTTTCTGTTTCTGATATTTCATTATTAGTTTATAAAAATACCATCCATTTATGAATATTGATTTTGTATCTTGATATATTGTCAAAGTTATTAATTAGGACTAGTCATGTTTTGGTGGAATCCTTAGGGTTTTCTATAAACAATATCATGTCATCTGTGATAAGATATGATGTTGTTTTACTTCCTCCTATCCAATTTAAATGCCTTTTATTTCTTCTTCTTGTATAATTTCTGTGGCTAGACCTTCCAGTACTATGCTGAATAAGAGTGGTGAAAGCTGACATCCCTGTCATGTTCCTAATCTGAAGGAAAATGTTATTTGTTTTTGCCCATTGAGTATGATGTTGCCTGTAGGGTTTTTTATATGGCTTTTATTATGTTGAAATATGATCCCTCTACTCCCACTTTGCTGAGAGTTTATAATTCAATATGATAAATGGGTGCTGGATTTTATCAAATGCTTTTTCTGTATTTATTGACATGTGACTTTTTTATTTTGATTATGTCATATATCTCATTTATTAAAGTGCAAATATTCTACCAACCTGGAATCCCCAGGATAAAGCCCACTTGTGTATGATGTATGATATTATTATGTAAAGCCAGATATCATTTGCTAATATTTTGTTGAGGATTTTAGCATCTATGTTCATCAGAGATAGTAGTCCATAATATTCTTTCTTGTGTCCTTTATGAGGTGTTGAAAAAACCTCATAAAAACAGCTTGAAAGTCTTTCCATTTCTTGATTTTTTTTTAATAGTTTGAGAAGGATAAGTGTTAGTTTTTCTTTGAATATTTGGTAAAATTCACCCATGAAGCTATCCAGTCCAAGACCTTTGTTTGCTAGGAATATTTTGTTTACTTCTTCAATTTCATTAGTTGTTATCAGTTTGTTCAGGTTTTCTGATTCTTCCTGATTCAGTATTGGAAGATAGTATGTTACTAGAAATTTATCTATTTTCCCCACATTAACTAATTTCTTGGCATATTGTTATTCATAGTATTTTCTTACAATTCCTCATTTTCCTGCGATATCAGTTGTTACTTATCCCTTTAATTTCTGATTTATATTTGGGTCCTGTCCCTTTTTTCCTCAATGAGTATGGTTAAAGTTTCATCAATCTTGTTTATCTTTTCAAAAACCACACTCTTGCTTTTATTGATCTTTTGTATTTTTTTTTAGTCTCTATGCCATTTATTTCCACTCCAACCTTGATTATTTCCTTCCTTGTACTTCCTCTGGGCTTTGTTTGTTGTTGTTCTTTTAGTTCTCTTAGGTATAAGGTTAGATTGTTTACATGATATTTTTATTGCTTCTTGAGGTAGACCTGTAGTGCTATGAACTTCCCTCTCAAGACTGCTTTTGCTGTGTTCCATAGGTCATTGTGTCTTCATTTTCATTCATTTCCAGGTAACTTTTTATTTCTTCCTTGATCTCATTGATAATTCATTTATTATATAATAACATAGATTCAAGCCTCCATGACTTACCTTGTGTCCTAACATATTATCTATCTTTGAGAATGTCCCATGCACACTTGAGAAAATGTGTATTCTGCTGCTTTGGGATGAAATGTTCTATAAATATCAATTAAATACATTTGATTTAGTCTGTCATTTGAGGCTGCTATTTCCTTATTGATTTTTTGTCTGGAAGATCTATCCATTTATGACAGTGGGGTATTAAAAATCTACTATGGCTGTATTTCTGTCAATCTCTTCCTTAAAGTCCACCAAAGTTTTCTTTATATATTTAGGTGCTCCTATTTTGGATGCATATGTGTTCAGAAAGGTTATATCCTCTTATTGGACCTTCTCTTTAATATTACACAATGACCTTCTTTGTCTCTTATTATGGCCTTTGTTTTGAAGTCTATCTTTTCTTTTTTCTTTCTTTTTCTTTTTTTTTTGGGGGGGGGGGAAGAGTGCAAATGCAGTCCTCACTATCACAAATTATGCAGTCAAGTTTCCCACATTTGGAGAAATCACAGGGGTCAGCACATCCAGACTGCAATGGATAAGCCCCGCCCTGAGAAAACCACCTGCATGATTATGCTATCTTCCCTGCCAGGTAAGTATGAAGTCTATTTTTTCTAACATAAGTATTACTACTCCAGCTTTTTTTTTTTCCATTTGCCTGGAATATTTTCTTCCATCACTTTCAGCCTGTGTCTTTTACTCTGAGTTAAGTTTCTTATAGACAGCATATATAGAGGTCCTGTTTTCTTATACATTCAGCTACCTTATATCTTTTGTTTGGAGCACATAATCCATTTACATTTATGGTTATTATAGATAGGTACTTATTTATTGCTATTTTCCTTTATACCTATGATTCTCTTTCTTTTTAGTCCTTCTTCTTAAAGCAGGCCATTTAACATTTCTTACAACGGTGATCCTTTGGTAATGAACTCTTTTAGCTCTTTTAATTTCTCTTGGAGGATTTTTATTTCATCTTCAATTTTTTAAAAAATATCTTATTTATTTTTAGAAAGATGGGAAGGAAGGGAGAAAGAAAGGGATAGCAAATCAATGTGTGAGAGAAACACCGATCTGTTGCCTCTCACATGCCCCCAACTAGGGACCTAACACACACAACCCAGGCATGTGCCCTGACTAGAAATCAAACTGGTGACCCTTTGCTTTGCAGGATGATGCCCAACCCACCGAGCCATGCATGCTGTTCAGGATTTGCCTTAAATTTTAAGTTATAGCTTTGCTGGGTAGAGTAGTCTTGGTTGCATAGCCTTATTTTTATTACTTTGAATACTTCATGTCAATTCCTCTGGCCTGAAGTGTTTCTGTTCAGAAATCAGCTGACAGTCTCATGGAAAATTTTGTAAGGAACTAACTCTCTTGCTGCCTTTAAGATTCTCTCTTTTTATTTACCCTGTGCCATTTTAATTATGATGTGTCTTGGTGTGGGTGTCTTTGGGTTTATCTTGATTGGGGCTCTCCATGCAAACTGAACATGTGTGATTTTTTTTCAACAGTTTAGGAGTTTTTTACGTTTATTTCTTCAAACAGTTTTTCTTTACCCTTCTCTCTCTCTTCTCCTTCTGTTACCCTTATGATGTGGAAGTTGTTACACTTGATGTTGTCCCAGAGGTCCTTTAAACTTTCCTTGTTTCTCTTAATTATATATTTTTTCATTTTCTCTTTGTGTGGATACCCTTATCTTCTCCTCTAATTTTCTTATTCAATCTACTGCTTTATCTTACAGGCAGTTGATTCCTCATAGATATTCTTTATTTCAGACTATATTCTTTATTTATGACTGGTTGTTTTTTGTTTTTTATATCCTTTCTAATGATTGCTATCTCTTTGTTTAAGTTCTCACTGAGATCCTTAATTCTTCCCCTATGGTTCTCAAGCATCCTTATAACCATTATTTTAAACTCTGTATCTGGTATTTTGGTTGCCTTTATTTCATATATACCTTTTCATTCTTCTGGGTGGAATTTCTCTTTTTTATTTTGTTTAGGGACATTTTTCTTTGTCTCCCCATTTGGTCTCTGTGTGTTAGGTTGATGTGGTATGTCTCCCAAACTTGTTTTAATGGTTTATGATGAAGGTGTGTTGTTTGGGTCAGTGGGAAAATCTCCCAGATCATCTGAACTTCATGCACTTTCTATTTTAGTTGAGTCTTGAATGCTATTGGGCCTTTCATGGGTATAGTTTACTGTAGGGGACTGCTTTCAGTGGTTTTGAGGACTGTAGCCCCTCGCAATCTGGGGCCTGGGAAAGGAACCATAAGTTTTGGCCAGAACACCAAAAAAGCCAGAGGCAGGCAAGACCCAATAATAACTCCAAAGGCCCAAGGGGAAAGTCAGACTTAGAAATAAATTACACTCTTAGAAACATGCTCTGTTTCTCCCTCAAGCTCTGTTAATCTTTTACCAGATAACAAGCTCAAGTCTGGGAAAGAAATTTATAAAACTCCTGGACTCTGACCCAAATCCGACCTGACACCATAATGTTTGCTCAGCTTGGAGGCAAAGCAGTTTGGTGTGTTCCTGCCATTGTCATCTTTAAACAACATCTATTCTCTGTAAGTTTAAGCTACTGATGTGATTAGATTTCCTATACACTCCTGCTACCTATCTCCTGCCTGTGACCTTCTCAATAAAAGCCACTTAGCACAGGGGCTCAGGGCATTCTCCTCTAGAGAGAGTCATCTTCCTCTTTTCTTGACAGGAAATTGGTGTCTAGAATGAATCATTATTTCATCTGCGGTGAATCGAAGGACTCCACGGGATGGAGTCCCCCATAGTTTACCCTTAAGGCTGAGAAACTGCATGGGTAAACCTCGACCACCACATATGAGATACTGTGCAGGGGCTGCCATTTTAGTTGGTGGTGTTCCCACGAGAGTCTGGTGCCCCTAGAAATGCCCTTTTTTGTGTGCTTGTTGTGTGGCTAATTGGGTCCAGCTCAGGAGTCATCTGAAGCCCACCATTGGTTTTGTTGGTTCTGGGTCAAATTGGATGGTGTTCAAGTACAAGTCACTGTCAGGCATTGTGTAAATGTCCTTGAGCTACCTGTATGTAACTACCATGCTGTTCACTGTTTGTGTTTTTTTTTTTTTACTGGACCTGCGTGTGCATGAGAGGGGCCAATTTGTGTAAAAGAGTCAGTCTCTTCTTAGAGCTGGGGTCAACTCTGAAAAAACTGAGATTCCCTCAGGTTCACCTCCACATTTTATCTACTTTGCCTCCTCATGAGGTTGCGTGGTCTTCCTCTGGAAACTTTCAATGAATGGCTGTAGGATGAGCCCAGGCTAGTTGAGATAGGGCTAGTAGGTCCCCTACTTGAGGGTCATGCACTCAGTCAGGCACTCAATGAAGTGAAATTGGTCCCTGCTTCAAAGCCAGGTCTCCAATTCTAGTTCTCACAATGGGGCTTGCAGCAGATTTAGGTTGGGTACAGTGAGCCATGCTCTTTGCAAGAGCAAGCTCAGCTGCCCTTTTCTCAAAGGGATATATCAAAAGAGTCTCCCATTGGGTATGATGCCAGCCCATCCCACAAGAGGAGGGCTAAGCAATTTTGTCTCCTTTCCAGACAATAGTCTTTGTGGGTCTAATACTTTGAAAGTCCCTGTTCTGAGCTGCTCTTCCTTATCCTTACAGAGCTGCACCCATCAGGGGTATTTGGGCTTGACAGGAGTGATCTAAACAGTTTCCCATTGTGGTGATGCCCACAAACCTGTAATATGGAGAGAGAACTTCTACCACTTTCTAGAGTAGCACAGGCTGAACTCACAAGGAAGTTTAGATTTGTCTCTCTGCAATGCAGCCATGTAGCTTAGCACTCACCTGTCTGGCTCCTAGACATGTCTCCCCAAGAAACTCAGTTAAAAATCTCAGTTCTGAAAACATTAGAGATAGTGGCCAAATAGGGGGAAGCTCAGTCCCCTTGCTCCTGCCCCAATCCAGATTTTCAGCTGAACTTCTGACAATCAACATGAAAAAATCAACTGAATCTTAGCTGATATGAGGTTTTAAAGCCAAGGAATACAGAAGATGCTTTGTATCATCTGGTAAAGGGATTTTATAAGTAGAAGGAGAAATACCCTATGTAAGGCTCCTGTCACACCTGAGAGACCAGACAAAAATCATAGTTTTGGAGCTCCCTCCCCCTCTGAGGTCTATTAAAGGGACCAGGTTGCCTCATCGAAGTCTGTAAGAGGCACATACAGACTGACGCCAGCAGTGACTTTGAAACACATTTTGTTCCTCAAGGAGGTTTTATGCATGAATTACATAGTGACTCAGTTCTGTGGCATAGAGACTTTTAAAAGTAACTGAAACATGAATGGGCAAGGACCCCATGCACAGCTCTCTTCTAGAAGAGAGACCAGAATGAAACCTAGCTCTGAAGTTCCCTGATCCCTCAGAACAAAAGACTTTAGTCCCATGAAGAAATCCTCAACCTGAATAGGGGAACTTGGGGGATCCTCTGAGACTGTGAGACTCAGGATGCACACTCAGAGTATGCAGCACTTCCATTGTTGAAGTGCCAACCTGGAGAGCTAATGATAGGGGCTCAAATTGCAAAAGGGACCAGGTTGCCACACTGCTGGTTGTGACTTTGAGAAATATTTCATTCCTTGGGGAGGTTTTAAGCAGGAAGAACCACACAATGACTCAGTTATGCAGTGTGGGTAAAGTGTATAGACTTTTGAAAGGACTGAAACGTGGATGGGCAAGGACGCTGTGCACAGCTCCTGTTAGCAGAGAGACCAGATTGAACTTGTAGCTCCAGAGCTCCTTCCCCTTTGAGCTGTGGGGGCATAAAAATAACTACAGCAATAGATAAGGAAGTGGGTTACTGTGAGGTCTCTGGTAGCAGGAAGCAGTGATGTTCCACCACATCTATAAAATCAGAGATCACTAATTCAGCTTGAAGTGCATCTATGGTTTGGGCACCAGACTGGAAAGTTCACTATACAAGTTAAGTCTAAGCAAGAAACCACATTGATGCTTTTGGAGGGCTGCAGACAACAGTGGCATAAAGGCGATCTCTGATTGAGAGGAAGGTGCACAGGGGATACCAAAACAGTAAACTTACTGAGTGGATTAGGAAAAGAAACCAGTTTCCCCACTCTCAAGCATGTGGTTGGTGCCCTGCCCCCCATTGTGAGCTACCCCTGCTGTTGCAAGTTCAGAGCAGAACTTAGTGGAATGGGGGGAAAATTTTAGCCTATTCTTAACTTTTCTCAGCTGTGAAAAGCCACATTGGATTTTCATGTCCTTTCCCACTGAGACCAGCTAGGCAAAGAGGTCAGAAATTTGCAAAATTAATGGATTTTTGGGCCTAGCCCACCTCAGCTTGCAAGAAAACTGGGGATTATGTGGAGCAGAGGATTCTGGACTATGTCTCCTGCAACGGAAGTAGACTGAGAGTTAGATGAATGAGAGTGGAGTGCCTGGGATACTGTGTAATGAGGCAAACCCACTCTCAGCCTACAATACCCTTAGAAGAAAAAAGAGTGTCAATTCCCCCTCCTACAGGGTTGCAAGCACCACCCTCAATGGGCAAACTCTGCAGATGAGCCCTGCCAGGTCCAAGATACCCAC